AACATTTTTTTTCTTCATTTCAACTGTGGTGAATCTGAAGATTATGTGTCTTGGGCTTGCCCTTCTTGAGGAGTCTCTTTGTGGTATTCTCTGTATTTTCTGAATTTGAATGTTGGCCTGTCTTGCTAGGTTGGGGAAGTTCTCCTGGATGATATCCTGTAAAGTGCTTTCCAACTTGGTTCCATTCTCCCCATCGCTTTCAGGTATACCAATCAAATGTAGGTTTGGTTTTTTTTCACATAGTCCCATATTTCTTGGAGGCTTTTTTCATTCTTTTTCATTGTTTTTTTTTTCCCTAGTCTTGTCTTCATGCTTTATTTTATTAAGTTGATCTTCAATCTCTGATATCCTTTCTTCTGCTTGATTGATTCAGCTATTGATACTTGTGTATGCCTCACAAAGTGCTCGTGCTGTGTTTTTCACCTCCGTCAGGTCATTTATGTTCTTCCCTAAACTGGTTATTCTAGTTAGCAATTCCTCTAACCTTTTCTCAAGGTTCTTGAAAAAAATCTTCCTTGTATTGGGTTAGAACATGCTCCTTTAGGTCAAAGGAGTTTGTATTACCCACCTTCTGAAGGCTACTTTTGTCAATTCGTCAAACTCATTCTTCGTCCAGTTTTGTTCCCTTGCTGGCAAGGAGTTGTGATCCTTTGGAGGAGAAGAGGCATTCCGGCTTTTGGAATCTTCAGCCTTTTTGAGCTGGTTTTTCTTCATCTTCATGAATTTATCTAACTTTAGTCATTGATGCTGGTGACCTTCAGATGGAGTTTTTGTGTGGTTGTCCTTTTTATTGATGTTAATGCTATTCCTTTCTGATTGCTTGTTTTCCTTCTAATAGCCCGCTCTGCTGCAGGTCTGCTGGAGTTTGCTGGAGGTCCACCCCAGACTCTGTTTGCCTGGGTATCACCAGCAGAGCCTGCAGAACAGTAAAAAGATTACTGCCTTTTCTTTCCTCTGGTAGCTTCGTCCCAGAGGGGCACCTGCCAGATGCCAGTCAGAACTCCCCTGTATGAGATGTCTGTCGACCCCTGCTGGGAGGTGTCTCCCAGTCAGAAAGCATGTGGGTCAGCGACCCACTTCAGGAGGCAGTCTGTCCCTTAGCAGAGCTTGAGCTATGGGAGATCCACTGCTCTCTTCAAAGCTGGCAGGCAGGAATATTTAAGTCTGCTGAAGCTGTGCCCACGGCCAACCCTTCCCCCAGGTGCTCTGTCCCAGGGAGATGGGAGTTTTATGTATAAGCCCCTGACTGGGGCTGCTGCCTTTCTTTCAGAGATGCCCTACTGAGAGAGGAGGAATCTAGAGAGGCAGTCTGACCACAGTGGCTTTGCTGAGCTGTGGTGGGTTCCACCCAGTTCAAACTTCCTGGTGGCTTTGTTTACACTGTGAGGGGAAAAATTCCTACTCAAGCCTCAGTAATGGTGGATGCGCCTTCCCCCACTAAGCTCAAGCATCCTAGGTCATCATCAGACTGCTGTGCTGGCAGCAAGAATTTCAAGCCAGTGGATCTTAGCTTGCTGGGCTCTGTGGGGGTGGGATCCACTGAGCTAGACCACTTGGCTCCCTGGCTTCAGCGCTTTTTCCAGGGGGGAGTGAACAGCTCTGTCTCATTGGCATTCCAGGCCCTACTAGGATATTAAAAAAAAAAACTCCTGCAGCTAGTTTGGTGTCTGTCCAAACCGCCCAGTTTTGTGCTTGAAACCCAGGGCCCTGCTGGCGTAGGCACCCAAAGGAATCTCCTGGTCTGCAGGCTGCAAAGACCATGGGAAAAGCATGGTACCTGGGCTGGAGTGTATGGTTCATCACGGCATAGTCCTTCACAGCTTTCCTTGGCTGGGATAGGGAGTTCCCCAATCCCTTGTACTTCCCAGGTGATGCAGTACCCCACCCTGCTTTGGGTAGCCCTCTGTGGGCTGTACCCACTGTCTAACCAGTCCCACTGAAATGAGCCAGGTACCTCAGTTGGAAATGCAGAAATTACCCACCTTCTGTATTGATCTCACTGAGAGCTACAGACCGGAGCTATTCCTATTCGGCCTTCTTGCCAGCCACCTGTGATTGTTTTTAATAGCTTTGTAAACCAGCTTAAGTCATTTGAAAAATCAGAACATACTAAAACTGTAATAAAACATAAATAGTCTTAAATATTTTTTAATCTTTCTTGTATGATGAAGAGCATATTTCGAGATCTTGCAGATGTTTTAGTGTCATTATTTTGAAAGACATTCTTCTAGTTCTGTAGATAGTATATAATAATGAAAACTGAGTTTATGACACATCTTTTGCATATGTGATATATACTTATCTGTACTGATAATTATAAAAGGTAAAAAATAATTCCACTTTGTATTTCAGGAAATTGAACTTCATATGATAACTAAGGATAAAGTATCTCAATGATTGATATATATATATATATATATATATATATGCAGAAAAAAGTATTATGAAGCTGCATTTATTTAGAATTTTCAGCAATTTAGATCAAGAAATCATGATTTTTTTTTTTTTCCAAGACGAAGTCTCACTCTGTCACCCAGGCTGGAATGCAGTGGCATGATCTTGGCTCACTGCAACCTCTACCTCCCGGGTTTAAGCAATTCTCCTGACTCAGCCTCCAGAGTAGCTGGGACTTCAGGCATGCACCACTACACCCGGCTAATTTTTTTTTTTTTTTTTTTTTTTTTTTTTTTGTATTTTTAGTAGAGACAGGGTTTCACCACATTAGCCAGGCTGGTCTTGAACTCCTGACCTTGTGATTTGCCGGCCTCTGACTCCTGAATTTTCTGGGATTACAGGCATGAGCCACCACACCCAGCCAGAAGTCATGATTCTTAAGAATAAAATTCAAAATAATCTCTTCCATTGTCGATTAAGTTCTGTTCATAAATATTTACGCAGCAAAAAAATTGTTTCCAAATAAGGAGCTCAAGGAATTCTTTGTAATTTTGGTTTACTTACCACTTATATATAATTATTTTCAAATCTATAAATCTAGTGATTAATTCTTATATTACCTAAAATGTTTTGTAGAATGTTATATTATTACATAACGTAAATGTATTATAAATAGTAATGGTGTCATTAACTTAGTTCATTTTACATATTTAGTACCTGTTTGGTTTTAGTTTATAGTTGTTAGTTCCCTGTATAGTGTAGCTTGTACTTGGAAGTAGTAAAACCAGATTTCTTTATAACTATTTATGGTACGGACCTTTTCCTAAATCAGACTGCAGACCTTTCCCAATTATTTCTAATAAAGTCTACTTACTTTTTATTTATTCATTTATTTATTTGCCTGTATAGTACTATGTAATACGTATACTCTCCAGAAAATGTAATCCTGGAAATTTGTCCTATAACTTCCAAGTAATCAAAATCTTGTCACCTGCCATGTAGGCCCTCATGTTACAAAACGTGGAATGTTTAGTTTCGGAAAGTGTGTGGCCGGGCGTGGTAGCTCACTCCTCTGATCTCAGCACTTTGGGAGGGTGAGGCAGGCAGATCACTTGAGGTCAGGAGTTCGAGACCAACCTAGCTAACATAGCAAAACCCTGTCTCTACTAAAAAATGCAAAAGTTTGCCGGATATGGTGGCATGTGACTGTAATCCCAGGTACTCAGGAGGCTTAGTCATGAGAATTGCTTGAACCAGGATGCAGAGGTTGCAGTGAGCTGAAATCATGCCACTGCACTCCAGTCTGGGCAACAGAATGAGACTCCATATCCAGAAAAAAAAAAAAAAAGAGTTTAAGCCAGGTGCAGTGGCTCATGCATATAATCCTAACACTTTGCAAGACCAAGGCAGGTGAATTGCTTGAGCTCAGGAGTTTGAGACCAGCCTGGACAAAAAAAATGAAACCATATCTCTACCCAAAAAAACAAAGTCAAAAAACTAACCAGCTGTGGTGCTGCATGTCTGTGGTCCCAACTACATGGAAGGCTGAGACAGGAGGATCCCTTGAGCCCAGGAGGGCAAAGCTGGCGTGTATTACGATTACATAACTGCACTCCAGCCTGGATGACAGAGCAAGACCTGAAAAAAAAAAAAAAAAAAAGGTTTTTTAAAAGATAGATTGACTAAATAAATATGTCCTCTTCTTGAATATCAATCTCTCCAGGAGAGTCTTTTGATTAACATATTTATGTCTCTTGTTGAACTATTCATTAAGAGCAGGTAGCAAAAGCTAGACAGAATATGCTTTTGAAGATTCTCTATGTTCTTTATTAAGGTTCTCAAGATCTCCTTTTGCCTCCCTCTCGTTCTTAAATGAGATTGAAGTTTACAAGTCTTTAGCCAAGTCTGTCCCCATAGGGATGCAAATTTATGATTTCAGAAGTTCCAGCCCCCAATAAGCAGCATTGTCCAATCATTTGCAGATGTCCTGTAAGCCAGATTTCATGACAGATAAGTCCATTCCCCGGTCATGTGCCACATTTAAAGTACTGAATTAGGTTACTCTGTAGTCAAAACAACCAAGCCCTGGTCCAGACTGCTCTATCTAGGGCAAGGCCCCATTGCACTGTCTCTTTTTTTCTGCCCTTGTATTCAGTAGTAGCTTTCCCTTTTGCCAGTTGACAGATAGTGACTTCTTTGCAAAATATAACCAGATTAGGTTATTTGTAATAAAACAACTAAAATTAAAAAATCCTTGACACTGGCATGAACTATTTTAACAGAATAGTAATGTTTTTATTGTGTCATTGTGATTTTCTATAAAGAAACACCCAAGATTCATTATTTGTATTTTTTAAAATTTACAGCTCTTTAACTATATCCAACGTTTCACTGCCAGGAGTATAGTCAAGCTTGAAGCTTTATTAGAAACCCATGACCCAATCCATTCCAACACTTCCTTTAGTTTATGGCTTCTGTTCATTTGCACTGTCCAAAAAGGTACTGCTATCATTTATAGTCATTCCAAATAAAATGTGAACTACCTAGGTGTAGCTCTCATAAGACATATACAGCAGCATCTGTATGCTGAAAATTACCAAAAAAAAATGCACTGGTTTCTCTTCATAACAAATGAATTTTTTGCCTTTTACTAAAGATTTCCATGGAAAAAAGCAATTATGAGTTTATAGCCAAATTTTTTAATGTCCTGCTTAGGCAGGGCTAAGAAAAAAAAGAAAATTACCAGAAAAGTATTACTTGCAGATGATTTTGCACCTTAGTTCCCAGGTGCTCCTGTACAGAATATGGAGCTTATGTCCTGTCTCTCTTTGAATGATGAGTGATGAAGGAGCTTCAGATGTTACTGGGTGAGCTTGTATAGAGAGTTACAAAGAGAAGTCAGTCTGCCTTTCTTTGGGTCTAATTGCAGAAAGTGAAGTCACTGCTTTTGCTGTCTTGGATCAAGACCAGAAAGAAATTATTGACACCAATGGAGCTGGAGATGCATTTGTTGGAGGTATAGACTAATTTATTTCATTCTTACTTATAAGTTAAACATTTTAACCCTTGTTTCTATCACATAACCAATATTTATTAATTTAATAACTTTTAATTTCTTTTTTTAAATAATTAACTTCTAAAGTTCTTTCCATATGCTTTTATCATTGTCAGTATTATAAGGGGGTTTTAACACAGGAAAAGTATGTGTTTGGAAAAGATAATTTGCTACTATGCTATACCCTAGTATTTTCACAAGATTAATTGTATCTGTCAGAAAATTGCATAAACAAGCTGCATCAAGTACAGTATATAGTATATTCATAGCCCTTCAGGCTTAAATGTTAACACATTTTTGTTCTTTAAAACAAGTTGTGATGAATATTAAACAGTATGCTAATAACTAAGGATGATATCTTTGGATTATATCCTTTGGTTAAAACATCTGTTTCAAACACAATAGTGTATGTTTGTTATACTAGGAAGGGTTAAATTTTTGCCTAATTTAGGCTCAATAAGAACTGGCACATTTTATAAGAACTAATGATTTGGGGAATGAATACTCAAAAATAAAATCAAGACAATAGAAGATTTTTGGCTTGATGACTTAGATTCATCTAAAATCTGATTCAAAAATTCTTTTGATAAGTCTAAATTCCTTCTGGTTAAGTGTAGTTAATTAAGCTAGTTTATAGTCTCTAGAAAGCTTTAGCTTCCTTAAAGATAGCCCAAAGGGGTCTTTCCTGGACTCTGTTTCTTTCTCTTAACATCAAGTGAGACAAGGTTAAAAAAAAAAAAAGCAAGCGACCGGACCATTGTCCATTTTTCTCTGGAGGATAATTTGAATCATGGGAAACTTATTTAAGTTTATGTGATGGTTTTAACTTAATATTTTATTTTAATGGTCTTTTACCAACATAAGTTTTTATTTTTCTTTCTTTGAAACTATTCATGCCCAGTCTTTCTCCTTCCTTCCTTCCTTCCTTCCTCTCTTCCTTCCCTTCCCCTTCCCCTTCCCCTCCCCCTCCCCTCCCCTCACTTCTCTTCCCTTTTCCTTTCCTTCCCTTCCCCTTCCTTCCCTTCCCTTCCTCTGTCCCTTTCCTTTTCCCTTTCTCTTTCCCTTCTTTTTCCTTTCTTTCCCTTCCTTTCTGCAAATTCCACCTCCTGCATTCATGTGATTCTCTTGCCTCAGCCTCCTGAGCAGCTAGGACCACAGGTGCATGCCACCACACCCAGCTAATTTTTGTATTTTTAGTAAAGACAAGGTTTTGCCATGTTGGCCAAGCTGGTCATGCTTAATCTTAAATGAACTGTTAACTATTAGGATGCACCATGCCCTGTATTCTCTGGAAAGAGTCTGTACCACAGACAACATTCTACCTTACCATCATGCTTGTGTCTTTTATTTCCTTGCTCAGAAAGTCTTTGTTATAGATAATATTAGAGTACTTAGCAGCTAGTTTTCCTATTTTATACTCTTCAGAGCTGTAGATGTATGTAAGCTAAAAATATTTTATTCTGAATTTAGCTATATTCTGTAATACATTAAGAAAACCTTAGTGATTTCTTAGTTAGAAATTGGTCAAACCAGGAATCTTAGTCTGGAAACTTTTATACACCATATGTGCATTACTTAAGTACTTTAATATCTTTAAAACAGGAAGTATTCTATTTCTTTGACATTCAGTAGGACACATAATGAGGCCATCATAGATATGATGGTGACCTAAATAGCCACTACCTCTGGCCTTGGGTTAGAGGCCCTGCAACAACAGATTCTGTTACAGATGTCTAACTATCTGTAATGCTGCCAATACTAGGTGAGAACATACAGACTTTCTGAGGGAGGGAGAGACCATTCTTAGAATACTGAGGTAGGACCAGCTAGCTACCATTTGTATTGTGGTTACAGCAATAAATAAACTACTTCATAAAAGCAATTGGATTTTTTGTTAGATGATTTTTCAGTCTCTTTTTAGCCTACTTCATCATATTTATTATTGCAGTTTAGTTAGGTAAGTAAAAAAGAAAGAGAGGCTGGACGTGGTGGCTCATGCCTGTAATCCCAGCATTTTGAGGGGCTGAGGCGGGCAGATCACATGAGGTCAGGAGTTAGACCAGCCCGACCAACATGGAGAAACCCCATCTCTACTAAAAATACAAAATTAGCCGGGTGTGGTAACCCCAGCTACTCAGGAGGCTGAGGCAGGAGAATCGCTTGAATCCGGGAGGCAGAGGTTGGGGTGAGCCAAGATCACGCCATTGCACTCCCACCTGGGCAACTAGAGCAAAACTCCACCTCAAAAAAAAAAAAAAAAAAAAAAAAAAAAAAAAAGAGAGAGAGAGAATATAGAACAAAGATCTACAATCTTTTTTTGTAAAAGGTCAAATAGTGAATATTGTAAGCTTTGCAAACCATATACAGGCTGTATTGCATATTCTTCTTGTTTTGTTTTCTTCCTTGTGTTTTGTTTTTTTTACAACACTTTTAAAATGTAAAAACCTTTCCTAGCTCTCCAGCTGTACAAAAACATACCATAGGCCAGGGTTGGCCCACAGGCTATAGTTTGCAAAACGCTTTGTAATCATGGGCAGCTTCCTTACTTTATTCATTTCATTTCTAGCATTTCAAAGTTCCAAATACTTGATTTTACTACACCTTGTTGAAATCAGAATAGAGAAAGTGGAAGGCAGGTAGAAACTAAGCAGGACTTCACTGGTAATACCTCAATTAGATAGCCATTTTTCTCAATTTGAGCCTGTTCAGTTCCCAAGGTAATCAGATCCCAAAACATTGGGTCATGCAATGAGATGAACATCCTAATGTCAGTTATTAATGGAATACTTATGTTGGCATATTTAGCACAGTCTGTCAAATGTGAGTGAAGCTACAAAGTAACAACAATAGATAACCTTTATACAACACCTACTGGCCAACCAATATCTTAAGCACTTTATATATATTAACTAATTTAGTGTTCACAAAAGCTTCTTGGAGTAGATTATTTTTACCCCTATTTTATTGATTGAAAAAAACAGAGACAAAGAAAGGTGAGATAATGTACCCATAGTCTCATGGCCAGAGAGCAGCAGAGCCAGGATTCAAACCCAAGTAGTCCGGCTCTAAAATCAGTGCTTTTACTCACCATACTAATACTACTTCTCTAAACATTTATGTAAATCTCATCATTAGAACTGAGAACCACAGATCAGCCTTCCTGACAAAAGCCAGTCTTGCCAGAGAATCTTCCTGTTATCTGAATAGATGACTTCATTTATTGAAGAGGATCTTTTGTAATCTGATAAGATTGTGAGGACTCTAAGGTAAGATTGTTGCAGAAAAGAAAGAAAAACTAAAAGGGAAGGGAATCCAAGAATTGTAGTCCCTGGTGAGTTTGAACCAAGAGCTTTTTGCTAAGCAGTAGAATCGATTTCACTACAGAGATATAGAAAGCCAGATAATAAACTTGCTTGGTTAGCATGGATTCCGAATAAGAGAGTTATACGAATCAAATATTTAATAGCGAAGCAGGATATTTCCCTAACCCCTTCTCAGGCAGAAACTGGGGTGCATGGGTGCTGGAACTAGCGACCACTTTGGTACCAGCATGCATGAACTCCACTCACTTGCTGCTCCACCCCTCACAGGTGAGCAGGTGCAGGAGCTGGGGCAATCACTTTTTGGCACTGGTTGCAAGAGCGAACTCCATACCAGCCCCATGGCAGCATTTAGGGGAAGGTGCCCATGACCCTTGAATCTCCAGAGGAAGTGTTACAGTGCCCTTTTAGCTTTGCTGTCCACCGACAGCTTAAGTGTTAACAGTTCAATGGAGGGTCAGAGTGACAGCCTTTTGCACCCTCACTCATGGCATCCAGGATGAATGACGTCACAAAAATGAATTGGAAATGGTACATGCAGGGGATTTTATTGCCGATGAAAGTGGCTCTCAGATGGAATGGGAGCTGAAAGGGGCATGGAGCAGGAAGGTAATCCCCTGGAGTCCAGCCATCCCCAGCCATGGTCTCCAACATCCAGTTGCTTCTCCTCTTCTCCTTTCTTTGTCGGCTGAGTCTGGGATTTTTATGGGCACAAGATTGGGAGTGGGGTGGGCCATGGATGGTTTTAGAAAAGGCAACATTTGAGCGGGAAAACAAGGATGTAAGTTCTCACTTTTGCCCATGGTATTAGGCTTTTTGGCATTAGGGTGGGCCCTCACCAGAGACCCTCCCTCTTCTGCCCAGAATTTGCCTGCCTCCTGTCTCTATCAATAGCATCCATCTAACAACCTGATGCATCCATCTTACAATAGAAGTGATCTTGTTAGTTGGAAATACTAAAAGATTCATTTGTTAAAATGCAGTGCTCCCTCTCCACACCAGCAAGAGCCTTTCTACTGGGATTAGAAACAACAGCTCTTGGCCTGGCACAGTGCCTCACACCTATAATCCTAGCAATTTGGGAGGCCAAGGCAGGCAGATCACATGGAGGCCAGAAATTTGAGACTAGCCTCGCCAACATGGCGAAACCCTGTCTCTACTAAAAATTAAAAAAATTAGCCTGGCATGGTAACATGCCCTTGTAGTCCCAGCTACTCAGGAGGCTGAGGTCCGGCCCATATGGAAAAATTAACAAAATGGATCAAATACTTAAATGTAAATACTAAATCAGCCAAGCGTGGTGGCTTATGCCTATAATCCCAGCACTTTGGGAGGCCAAGGCAGGTGG